CTCACCTCAGCCTCCCAAAGGTGCGGGATTACAGGCTGAGCCACCGAGCCCGGCTGCCAAGGAGCCTTTTTAAAAAAATTCCGTCGGAGTCTCACTCTGTCACCCAGGCTGGAGTGCAGTGGCACAATCATGGCTACCACAGCCTCAACCTGCTGGGCTTGGCCTACCCTTCCATCCAAGCCTTCCAAGTAGCTGGGACTACAAGCACGCACCACCATGCCTGGCTGATTTTTTTGATGTATTTTAGAAACAAGGTCTCGCCATGTTTCCCAGGCTGGCATTGAACTCCTTGGCTCAGGCAATCCTCCTGCCTCAGCCTCCCAAAGTGCTGGGAGCCAGCGCATGAGCCACCGCGCCCAGTCTAAGGATCCTAGTTTTGAGCAGACGGCTATTTTAGGAGCACCGCCGCCCTCTAGGGCCTGTGGATTTTCCATGAAGTAATGCCTGGGCCTCCCACTGCTAGGGCCCTCCCTGCTGCTGGCTGTGCACTGGTGGAATAAGGCCCCCATTCACCAGCTCCGGAGGCTCAGTGTACTAATTGTGTACACAAGTTTATCTGACTGGGGCGGGGAAGGGAGGGAAAAGAACCCGGAGGCCTGGAAGCCCTTACAATAAGTGTATTCTGAGCAAGAGAAGGAAGGGGGCTGAGCAAAACAATGGGCTTACTGTGTAGCCTGGTTCCCTTGGGGAGAAGCGGCTGGGAGCAATGGAGGCTGCAGCCCTGCCCATGGGGGGCCTCCTTGGTATGGCAGGCAGGGGGGTGGCGCCCCAGGGACCCTTAAAGCTTGAGGAATAAGATAAGGAGCCAGAGACCTGTCTTCTGCCAGATAATCTAGATCCCTTGTGCCTCTCATCCAGGGTTGAGCGGATGGGCAAGAGGCACCATCCCACAAAGCCCTTCTCTGGGATGCAAAGGGTGCAGGTGGAGGGCTGGGGGACTCCACTCCAGGGCCTGGGGGAGGCTGGGCCTTGGGGTGCTGCCGCCACAGCTCGGGGCAGAGTGTGGAGGGGAAGCGGGTCCCCACACGTACTTGAGCTCCTGGGCAATGGCTGCAATCTGCTCTACGCGGTCCTGGTGTGCAGCCAGGTCACTCTCGAAGGCCTCGTGCTTGCGGATGAGGGCTTTGATGTCTGACAGGGTGGCCGTCTCATAGTCCCGGTGCTTTAGCATGGCTTCCTTCCCTGGGGGTGGGGACGAGGGACATTTAAGACACCAGCACAGCAGTCCCAGAGCAGGTGTCTGGAGGGGCCATCCTGAGGGAGGAAAAGGGACGACGGCAGACCCCACCTCCTTTCAGATCAAAGATGGTGCCATGAAGGTCAGAAACTTCCAGAACCTCCTCCTTGCCCTCCAGGGATTTCTAAGTCTGGCGGGCAGGCCTGTTCTACAAATATAATCCTTTATTGGTGGGACACCATAAACATCAGACTGTGGTATCATGACCAGAATGTTAGACACCCATTTCCAGAGGCCTGTGATCTGGAGAAGCAGCTGGGGTTCCAGCCCACCATGCCCAGCAAGTTCAGGGAAGGGGAAGCCTTGGAGTCACGTTCCTCCAGGAGCACGATCCCGTGCCTGCACCCTGGCTCAGTGAAGCCTGGTCCCTGGGCAGTGGTCCCATCACATCAGCGTGCCCCAGCTGTTCTAAGCCCTCCTATGTGTGGTGGGGAGGGGCCCATCACCAGGCCCTTTGAAGTAGGGGAGGAACACTGTTATTAGTCCTGGAGCCTGGCTAATTACATACCCCAGAACAAAAGCTCAAGTAAACCCTGCAAGCAAGCTAACGTCTTGCAGAAAACTGAGGGGAAAAACGCCAGCTCCTAGGGGCCCTGTTTCAGGTGGGCCAGCTTGGGCTTCCTCTGGAGGGCAGCATAGCAGCCAGGAGCTCTCTGGGACCGTTCCTTCATCTGTGAAATGGGGCCAACATCAGCACCTATGTCAAAGGGGCCAAGGCCATTCTACAGTTTCAGTGAGTGATGCTTGAGAATGTGGGCAGAGTCAGCAAGGTCCCTCGCTAGGCCTCTCACGGGTTCAACTGTTGGGCACCCCCAGCCTCCCCGTAGGACTGGGCCTGGCGCCGGCAGGCAAGAGGTGGGCAGCCCGGGAGCCTGACTTCTCCGGCCCTGCTGCCCAGCTCCGGGCAGGAGGCTTAACCACAAGGCAAGCTTGCAATTCCCTTTTCCAAACTGCCTTCTCCCGAGGGTGGGAACCAGAAATAGCAGGTTACAGCTCTCTCTGGCTCAGTAGAGTTTCAGCAAGGGAGCTGACGAGTATTGCACTGACAGGAGTGGGAGAAGTGGCCATGGCCACAGCCGCCTGAGATGCAGGCCAAAGGACAGCAGAGAAGGGACGGGGGCCTGCTGGGTTTTGGTTCTGTCTCCAGGAAACCCAAGGCCCTGGGAGAAGGGTCCAGGGGACCGTCCTCCCTACAGGCTGTGGGGATGGCAAGGGGCACAGGCTGAGAGTGGCTCAAGTCTGGTCTCAGCCCTCCTCCTCCCAGGGCCGGGGTGGTTGCCACAGCCGGATCCCAGGGCTGGAAAGGGGTGGGAGGCCAGGCCGTCCTCCAGTTTCACATAATTGGTGGTTCACAGGCTGGAGGCTTTGGGTCTTGGGAATTAGAGTGGGCAGGCCTGCCTGGGGGCTCTGGGCTGCTGCCAGAGGCAGGGCCAGGTGCCAAATGCCTGCAGGGGAGTGGACTGGTAGGGGTGGGGCAGGGATGCAGGGAGGCCACTGAACCAGCTGGGCCCTAGCCGGAGACTGAGTTGACTCCTAAACACCCCCGGTTAATGCCAGGTCCAGAGTGATTCCCAGGGAAGGTGAACGGATGAGCTGTCACACCCACTCCCCTTGCCTCAGGAAACCATCTTTCCAGGGCCTTGTGGAGTCCTAGGGAGGGACTGGAGAGCTGGCAGCATGGGCAGAAAGGTCCCTAGGAGGGAACCCACAGGAAAGACGCCAGGGCCTCCATGGAGGGCCGAGACCAAACACATGGATAATGACAGCAGGAGACACCTAGGTTGAGTGTAGGTCACAGGTGCTATAAATAAAGTCCATGCATGAGCCCAACGGTCCTCTGAAAAAAGACATGCAGAAACCTCCTGGCTTGGGAGCTTTCCAGGCGGGACCTCACTTACTTGGGAAACCACCGTACACAGAGCAGTACAGGTACAGGGAAGAGGCTCAAGGGAAGTTAGTTGAATGAATGAATGAATTAAATGTCAGTCCCCACCCCAGGATGGCATCACAGCCAACACCCTCTCCTGGACAGCTGCCATTTCTGCAAGGCAGGAGGGAGGCACCTGCAAGCAGGCCCTCATGGCTCTTCCTCACCTCACCCTTGGCTTTCTCCTCCCCTGCCTGTTCCCTAGCAGGGAAGGGCGAGGACCCTGCTCTGGAGCTGGCGTCTGCCGCAGGAGCACAGTGAGGCTGAGCTCGTGTGAGGAGGGCATGAGCTGGGCTGCAGCAAGGGAGCAGGGTGAGGTGGGCAGGTCTGCGGGTCATGTGCAGTTGCACACTTCTCTGAGGGTGAGGAGGGTGCCCCGGGAGGGGTCTCAGCACCTGCCCAACGGGCTGAGAGGGTGGGGGCTAAAGAAGGCCCCAGAGGCCTAGTGACGTCATGGGGAGCTGTGTAAGTGTGTGGGGGGGGGCATGAGAAACCACACTGAGCAATGTGGGGAAGTGTGACTCAGCCTGGCAGAGTGGTGGCAGGAGGGCCGAAGAGACAGAGCTGGGGAGGCAGCGGCCAAAACGGGAAGCAGGGCCCCTAGGAGAGCTCTCTGGGCTCTCCTAGACACTGGCAGTTTTCTGAAGGCTTCTAAGCCCCCGAGATCTGGAATCTGAACCACAGTGTGGAGCCTGACAGAGGGCCAGGGGCATGATGGAATTCTGTATCCTGAGCCAAAGGGCCAGGCAGCGGCAGGGCTGCTGAGGAAAGGGAGGCAAGGCTGCCCTTTGAGGGGGAGCCTCCCGCAGGAGAGCCAGGCCCTGGGAAGGAGACCCTGGCGGGAGGGGAAGTGAAGAGGCGCTCCCCCAGGTGGGCTATGCCGAGGGGTGAGCAGCAAGCAGTGAGTGAGCATCGGCTGGGGGCCAGGCAACGGAGCCCGGAGGCAGAGCCCTGGCCTTGCCTCTAGAGAACGTCTTGGGGCACACAGACCCATCAGCACACATTCTGAGGTGTGATGGCCATGGTCGCAGAGGTGGGAGAGGACAGACTGAACACAAGGCACCAAGGATGGGAGAACCCCACCCAACACTTGCCCTGGAGTGGGGAGCCCATCCTCAGGGAAGACACAGCAGAGTAGACAGGCACAGGTCACTTCCTTAGAGCTGGAGGGTGCTTGGCTGTGTTCCTAAATGACTGACCTTCAGGGACCCAGAGGACGTCCAGGATACACCCATAAGTAGTCTGAGGCCAGCAGCAGACTGGGCAATATGGAGGACCCTGCCCTCTAATGCAGCTTGCTTCCTAGGGCTGGACAGACCCAGAGCAGCATGTCTGACATGCACAGCCTCACACAGCAAGAAAAGGACCTGATGAACAGAGCCGACGCAGCAGAAGCTGTGTGTATGTCGGAAGCAGGGGAGCAGCAAGGGGGATGGGAGATGCGTACCATCAGTCCAGGCCTCATGGATGGAGGCCTTCTGCCGGAACTTCTCGGCTAGGTGGTCCAGTCGCTCTAACCTGCGGATCTCATTCAGCAGCCACTCCTCGTATCCCTTCTCGGCCTGCTCCAGGTGTTGCCAGCCGTTGTTGATGTCCTGTGGGGCAGGATTGGGCAGGACCATCACAGAGGAGTAGGGGACACCTGGCAGGGGAATGCCTTCCTGAGGGGCGCTGATGGGACATCAGCAGACATGGGCTGTCTCCTACTTTGCTCCATCCAGATGTCTAGACTGGGCCCAGCACGTGGCAGGTGCAATCAAGTCTTCTGGACTCAGCATGAATGCCATAGATGGGGCTAGGGAGCATGTGGTTCCTCCCTTGCTAAAGCACCTTAAACACGTGAAGATCCTGGAGTCATGGCAGACTGGGGTTCTGGATTCACACAATTCCACATGAACCACGGTGTGTTTCGAGGTGGGTATAAACTCTGGGTATAAGCCATGGGGAGTGATGGGTAGAAGGAATGTGATCCTGTGTAAAGTGCACCCTTTCCTCAGTCCCCATACCCCCAAAGCCACGTGATCAAGTGAGGAAAGACTACACAGGCCAGAAAGCGAGCCCACAGGGTGCTCTTGAGCTGCCTCCGCCTCTCACAGCTGCTCCTGGGTTCAGCAGGTCCCCAACCAGGCCCTGCCACCTGGGCCCCAGAGCCCCACACTCACGGAGACCATCCGGCCCTCGGAGGGCATGAAGGCGGGCCGGTTGCTGAGGCGCAGCTTGGTCTGCAGCGTGTTGAAATTGATCTCCAGCTGGCACTTCTCCTGCACCTTGGGTGGCTTGTGCACGCGCCGGTAGTCACGGAAGTCCTCCAGCTTCTGCTGCATCTCCTGGATGGTCTTTT